CATGATGATGATAATAAACTTCAATATTGGTGTGAAGGATGTAAAGAAGAGATATGTCACAATTGCCAGCAGTACATGCACAAAGATCATCCATTTATTTTAGTGACTGGTCGTGTAAAGGCTTTCGAAGGCGAGGTTAGTATCACAAGGATGTTCTTTTTTATGTAATTACATAGTTTTAAAAGCACTTAATACGCGATGCGTCATCTTTTTTTTAGTGCGAAAATAGTTTAGAAGGAGTTCAATCGTGTTTGACCTATCGATCAAATCGAGCGGACAAAATGATAGCAGAGATTGAAATGGAAAGTCAATCCAATCAATCAGAAGTAACGACAGCTATGGCATCCATTCGTAAAATTATCGATGATAATGAAAAACTTTTGCTAGAAAACATCCGAACAATCGAAAATGATCAGAAGAAAGAAATGGAGAAGTATAAATGTCAACTTCAAAGTGAACAGCAGGGTTTCATTGAACAAGTATTACAATTCATGGTTGATTCCAAGGACAAATATTCAACGAAACTATTGGAAACCAAACAATCATTTGAAGATTACTTAATAAAAACTCAATCGAAGTTATTAGAACTAAAACCAAGGACTAGGATTAAAAATCATATAGCAGGTCTTGAAAGATTAAAACAGATGGAAACTGTAATCAAGGATATCAAAGTGGAGGAAGTTCCAAAATATGAAAATCTTCAACTTAAAGAACGCATTAAAAACAACCCGGACAAATCAACACTCAATTTGAACTCATCGAATTTAACCGATCAGGATATGGAAATTGTGGCTGCTGAATTGGAAATTAACAAAGTAAGAGAACCCTACTTCTTTTTATCATTTAGACTCTTGCAATATCATAAATTCAAAGTATCAAAGAGAGCAGTATTGATGATATACCAAATGTTCTGCCTCTTTTTTGAGAAAACAGTACCATATAATAGTAGTTATGGAAGCCTGAGCATGAAATCGAAATTTTGTAGAATAGATCTCTTAAAAAATGCTAGGACACGCCGTTCCTCTCCAATAGTTTTGCTTAGATAAAATTAGGATATGAGTTTGCATTCATATGTATATTGACGATCATCCAATTTATAGCAACCGTCAACAAATAACAGAGTCGAATCTATATTATTTACTTTTATATAATCTTATTGTATTGTATCTAATAATTCCGTGAGTTTCAGCAAAGAGAGTAGCTGCTTGAACTTGAATTTAATCAACAACTAGTACTTCATTGTGCGTTATTACTTAGAGAACAATGTTATATTGAGTTGATATTTAACTTCAGTAATCATCTTTGTTTTTTCAATGCAGGCATTGACCAAGCTGCAATTATATACTAATCAAATCGGTGACATCGGGGCACAACATCTGGCTGATGCGCTACGAACGAACAATGTAAGCTATTCATTTATGTGATCTCTTTTGGGCATCGATTTTAACTTTGTCACAGAAAAACCTCATTTCATTTTATTGGAATAATTGATAAGAGTGTTGAGGATGTCAATAAGGTTCAACTGGATCAAAATTATAGTTCATGACCAGCTCATTTCATTATTAACTGAGAGTTTTTCTGATTATATCTGTGGATATTGATAAGATTATAAAATAATCCAAGTCCAGCGTGATATTTTTTTCGATTAGTATTATTATCAAGTGAGAGTAACGTTCTACATGAAGCATGTATAGAATCTTACACAAAGTACACATTGTCGACTGTTTGCCTGATTTCAGTCAAGACATGATATGTTTTAATGAAATTAAGTAAACACATACAGAGTTTTGTTCAAATCATATATTCATATGATGAATAGTTCAAAAGGATGTAGTGTCTAGGCCTCGAAAGAAACGAGGTATGGATTTGTGTCTGAGTAAACACAAGAGTTCTGTATTATAATTCGTATGACATTCCACACGGACCTCAATTTCTGCTTATGTTAAAAATCTACATAATTGTATTACTTTTACATCATTTAAAAATATACTTTAATTTTTCATAAGCTCATAATAAATATGAAGTTGTTCTATGCGTTTTTTTCTTGTGAATATAAAGACAAAAGCGTTAACTTCATCGGAATTCAACCTTTGTTCGTATCATGACTAAGGAACAATTGACATCAAAATTTTTATTTTTCACCATTTAGATATTCTGAGAAGCTTTTGATCAAATATTAAAATTGAATTCTTTGTTTTTCTGTTAAATATCGATAGAACTAGACAGGTTGATGCTATGTTTTTGACAAGAAAAATCATCAATATCACAAAATTACTCTGTCGATAAAGAGTCCACAATAACAGATGCTTCCGTTTTTAGGATGAATTTTTCTGAAACATTAGTTATTTTTTCAACTGTGGTTTACCTGTATTTAGAATTTGGCTACGATAAAACGAGCAGTCCAGGATAAATGCTACTCTTGATATTTATCATTTGCATCTTTGAAAGGTTTTTTCCTTCACTTTAGTAATTTTTCTTATCCATAGCCCTCAAAATTTTCTACAATATCACTATTATACTTAGTCTTTAAATATAGAAGAGTGGAGAAACAGATCACTTTGTAAATAGATTGTGCAACAGTGCATTCATTTAATCAGATGAATTTTTATTGGTAAAATGGCAAACCAGTCACTTTAGGATTTTCGATCGTTGTTTTTATTTTTGGGATTACATTTCAATAAAATCTTGATGATTGTCCGATTTATTTTAAGTGCCAAAATATAACAAAGTCGTAATATAATCAGACCATACCAAAAATTCTGTCAGATTTAATAACGAGATTAGTCATTTGCAATTGAATTTAATGAAGACTCGGTCATATCAAAATCGCAAAGCCATTGCCTCTTTTTCTATCTAATTGCATGAATTTGTAGGAAATTAGAGAAAATAGAGTTCGCTGATTTGACAGATAAACGCCTAAAACATTATTAAAAGTTACATTTTAACTATGTTTTTTTTTATCAGTAACTCATAATTATGTTTTCTTTTCAATACAGACACTCACTAATTTGCAGTTGTATAACAATCAAATCGGTGACGATGGGGCGGAACATTTTGCGGATGCACTACGAACGAACAAAGTAAGTTATCTATCCATGTGATTTCTCTAACATTGATCTTCATTTTGTCACAAAGTCTCACACCAAGTTTTCATGAAGCAGAATTCGAATTCTATATCACACTATGATATTTATCAAGATTGCATAGGACCAAATTCAAACCGTTAAATATTTCGATTTTTGAATATTTTACTCCATTAAATTCGTACTAGTGAAAGTCATATGAAATAATGCATGGATTTCAATATTTATCTAACAGCTTCTAGAGTGACTTATATGATATAAATTTCAATCTAAAACCTCAAAACATACAGAATTTATAGCTATAGGAAGTTGTCATTAAGCTATTGCCAAAGAAACTCGAATGTTTGTATTAGCTCATCATAAGTACCGAGCTGAAGTGACTTTTCAATAAAAAATATCCTTGTGTACGTACATTCTCTGTAGTGCTGAGACCGTCAGAGACAAAAGCTGATTTAAACAGGTTTCTTCAATTTAGCTGAAGAATTTTAGTTGTTTCGAATGACTTGGCAGAAAATCAGTTATTCTTATCTACAATTTGATTTGAACTAACTTTTAGCGATAAGACATGAAAATGCAAACTTGAATGAAGTCATGACACCTTTACTTTGATATTCTCTCTGTTATTATAGTAAAC